TAAATTGTAGTTACCATCTGTGACCTTACGAAGTTAATATGGTATTATTGACTATTTTCTCCATGCCGTATGTTACATCCCATGACTTTATTTTCTAACTGGAAGTTTCTACTCCTTGATCCAAAAAGCAGCATCTCACAGAATCAAACCAAGTAGGTAGATGAGTCCATTAGCCAATAAACACATAACATAAATAGACGAAAGATGTTTTGTGTGATTTATATATACATGCGTGTGTGTGCCTGTGTGTGTGTGTGTGTGTGTGTGTGTGAGCCAGCTGCCTAGATTTGTTTGGTTTCTCTCAGTTCTTACTGGCTTTTTGTCTATGGACACATTTTGTTTGCTTTCTTCTGGATTCCAGCTTTATGAAAAATGAAGATTCTAAATAGATGTCTCAAACTCTGTATGTTGAACTCAGTTATGAAAAAAATATATGTTACACCCATACATCAGAAATCGTACATAATGCAAAAACCATTTTATTTGTCTACTACCTGACCTGTAAAAATGTGAAAATGCCCATCAGAGTGTTATGAATATGTGACAAGGAGGATGAAAGATTGAGAATCCTTAATAGTTACATGTGGAAGTGCTTTGGTAACAAATTAGTGCTGATGAATTGGTAACATCTTACAGAGACACACTCTGTTTTAGTTAAAAGGATTTAGCGTATTTCTTGGCCCTAGAAACTTTAATCCTATAGTTAATATTGATAGGAACAATTATCTGAAGTTAAAAAACCAAACAAAACTCTCATTAAGTGCATGTTTTTTTTTTAAATTTTTTTTAATGTTTATTTATTTTTGAGAGAGACAGAGACAGAATGTGAACGGGTTGGGGCAGAGCGAGAGGGAGGCACAGAATCTGAAGCAGGATCCAGGCTCTGAGCTGTCAGCACAGAGCCTGACGCGGGGCTCGAACTCATGAGTTGTGAGATCATGACCTGAGCCGAAGTCGGACACTCAACCGACTGAGCCACCCAGGCGCCCCTAAGTGCATGTTTAATTCAGGTAGAAGTTAGTCATTAAGTATGTATTTTTGTTAGTTTCCTAAGAACATAGATTTGTATCGTATTTTTAAAAAAATATTAAAGAGGAAATCCATCTGGTTTAAAATTTCCCAGGGATAATATTTAACAATATAATGTTTTAATGAACACAATAAATATGAGAAATACAGTGCATGTAATAAGACAAAGTTTTGCATTTTTATAATTCAAATGAAAGATAAATTTCAGGACATGATGTATGTAAAGTGCATTTAACACTGTATTTGATACATTTGCTGATGTTTGCCTTCTCTATAACCTCTGGCATTTCAGTCCAAGTTAATCATACAATGTCCCAGTGACAGGGCCACAAAATTAAACTTGACTCTCTCTATCACCCTTACAAATCCCCCCACCAGAAACAAACTCCCTATCACCTGCCAGTTTATAACTAACGTCTTTCTATCTCTGTCCTGCTGACAGTAAATCCCCTCACTAGCTAATTGAACAGATGCACCCAGTATTTCCAGAAGATCCACAAAGCTGGGCTTTGATGGACAGCAGAAAGTGGAACAATGAGAAAACAAAAGCCTTTAAACTGAGAGCACTGCTTTGTTCTGCTTAAAACTTTAAGGTCACTCCAGCTCGTTCTGACTATGGGGATCTTAATTTTTACTCCACCAATTTACTTGCAGCTGTCATTCTTTCCAATATTAAAAGTTTAGCTCTTCAAGTGTGGGGAATTGGGGGGAGAGGGGCGGGAAATGAGAAGAGCTTGTTATAAACTAAAAACAGCAAAAACAAGTAAAATCTGGCTTGGCTCTCAAGTACAAAAAGTTATTTTCAAAGCCTATAAATTATGACATAGTGATTAACATGTAATTTAAATATATTTAAACAACAATTATATCACATTTCCAGCCCAGCTAATTGGCCTCACAGATGTTCCCTTGTAGCTGCATTGCCCTTCCAGGGGGAAATGAATGAGGTGCTTTTTATCATGGAAAACAGAAAAGAAAAAAAAAAGCAAATGAAAAAAATGAAAACAGAAAAATAAAAAGCAGCCAGTAACCCTAAAAACAATGAATGCTTAAGGGACTTTGCCTAGCATTTTTTTCCATTTTAATGCAGAAAACTAGGAAAAGCATGAAGACACTCCTATTACTGTGATGGTATCTGGCAGTGTGTCCAGATATAGATTTGGCAGGTTGCTGACGGAAAGACTTGTCAAAGCAGGGACAGTGCCTGCATTCTAATATGGCATGGCCTCTCTTCAACAGATCTAGTTATTTTTAACACAGCATCTTTACAATTGAAGGCAGTCCAGCTCACGTAATGAATATATATAATAAAGTATTTCCTGATGAAGAATGACTTGTAACTTGTTCCTTTGATCATCTATCCCTCAAGTTTTATAAAATGCAAAATGTACAGCAGTCAGTGCTGTTTCCTAAGCTGTGATTCTAGTCAAACACAAACCAGTACAGCAATTGTTGGAAGGTTAGAGGCCAAAGGAACAGCAGTAATTACTAATATTTTGGAATACCTTTCTTCTAATATGTAATCTTAGAATTCAAATAAATTCACCGCAGTTTCATTTTACTCTTGCCTTTTCTTCTAATAATCTCAGGTAATATTTGATCATTCAGTGTAAATTGCAAAAGGCCAGTGGTCATGTCTCTCCTGATGCCTAATGGTATCTCCAGCATATTCGTTAAATGCTTGCTCAATAATCGGGGTTGAATGATAGGACAAGACCAAGGTTGAAGATACGATAAAGTTCCACTAGGCAGTTGCCGTATTTTTCCCATACCATCCCTCTGTTTTGCATATCACTGGCAGCAAATTCCTCCCAAATTTTACGAGCAAATGTATTTAGCTTCATTTCTAAAGGATAACAAAATATACCTGTATTTAAGGTGATGTAGAGAACAGGGAAACATTTTTAAATGTGTCTTTGATGAGTAGCTCTGGCATTTTGATTGCTTGACTTTAAAAATCTGATTTAGCATATGTGAATATTTAATTTTTTTATATCCTCTTTATTTGCTTAGTAGTGCAGAGCTTACAAAGTTCACTTATATATACCATTTTACTTTGTATTCACTAAGAGTAAGACAGAGGACAAGGATAAAAATGAGGGTCTGAGATGTTTCTTGACTTATCACATCACTTGTAACTGGGACTGGGGCTAAAATATCTAACAAATCATAAAACAATGTGTCTACTAGACAATACTACCTCCTATGTATAGCATGTTAAATATATCTCTACTTTTCCGCATCATGATCTTCAATACGTTCCTAGTTATGTCATTAGAGAAGGAAAGAGATTAGTATTTTCTACGCCATCATGCAGATGACTCAGTTATGGGGAGAGTTGAAATGTAAACTTCATGTAGGAGTTCAGACCTTGTCCCTTGATTAGTCCAGTTAATTATAGGAAATTGTGTTATCCAGTTGTTATTAATTTACATTAAACAGTTAATCTCCATGGAACCACATTCTGCTTAGAATGTTTTATGAACCTCTAAATTGTAAAAACATTGGCCTGGAATAATACTTAGCCAAGTTTCATACATGTATGCAGAAAATGCAAGCTTCATAACATCAGTTGTTTTTACCTGAATTATTTATGATCTCCAGTGTCTAGAAAAGGGCCTGGCTTAGTAGACTAAGGTTCTCAAAAATTGTATTTAATGGATATGTATATTAAGAAACAGTGTTGATACTCACATAACCTGCTCTATTTATCCCAAGGAATATTGTCCTTAATATTTTATCATATTCTTGTATCCACTTTTTTTAACCCATAGGATGGAGTATTAAGTTATAAGAATACAGATGCCCTTATTTTAATGTTTATTTATTTTTTGAGAGAGAGACAGACAGACAGAGAGTATGAACGGGGAAGAAGCAGAGACAGAGAGGGAGACACAAAATCTGAAGCAAGCTTCAGGTTATGAGCTGTCAGCACAGAGTCCAATGTGGGTCTCAAACCCATCAACCATGAGATCATAACCTGAACTGAAGTAGGATGCTTAACCAACTGAGCAACCCAGGAGCCCCAGATACCTTTTTTTTTTTTAAATGAAATCTAATTTTAACTGATTCTAAATACATGAAAATAATATATATAAAGCATATTTCCACGAAAGGAATTAATTTTCCAAGATTTCCTTCCTTTTTTTTTTTTTAACTTACAAAAAAATAAGACTCTTTGAAGAGAAAATAGGTGTACCTTTTTTAGTTTTTTAATTAATTTATTTAAATTCAAGTTAGTTAACATACCTTGTAGTATTGGTTTCAGGAGTAGAAGCTAGTGATTCATCACTTTCATATAACACCCAGTGCTCATTCCAACAAGTGCCCTCCTTAATGCTCATCACCCATTTAGCCCATCCCCCCACCCACCTCCCCTCTAGCAACCCTCAGTTTGTTCTCTGTATTTAAGAATCTCTTATGGTTTGATAGTATGCACCTTTTTAAAGGAAAGACTAAGAAGTTGACCCTTTGCTGAAATGGTGAAAAACAAATGTAACTTGATAGTAAAAATCATTCAAGGAAAATTGAAATTTGCTTTTATCTCCTTCTAGATAAGTTTCTTTTTACAAGGGAAAACCAATGCTGTGGCATGTGGCCATTTCAGTCATATAACATGTAAGGAAGGAAATGGTTCTTTATTTAAAACTATATTTAATTATTTACTGTCTTTATCTTTCTTCTAGGGTTAATCAGAAAAATATTCATGGTCAACTTAGTTTTTAATCCATTTAAAAATTTCACTTTTTCTGTATATTTTTTTTTCAGGGATTGAATTAAAATATTTCATATTCTCAAAACACATAAATAAACTCACGTGTAGTCAGGATGCATAAAAATTTTACCATTTAGCAAACTTCACTGTTGTGCATGTTTTCCTCTTTGGTTCATACAACTCATGCGGCTTTTTTTTTCTTTTCATTCATATTACCTCTTATTATATCCATCATTCCATTTTTCTTTCCTATTAGAGTGAAATTGGACACAGCCCTCCTCCTGCCTACACCCCCATGTCAGGAGTAAGTATTTCACAATCAACCTTCATCTTTTTTGTATTTTTGGTCTTCGCTTATCATGTTTCTTCTCTCTTGTCTCTCCATAATTTCCTCATTTTGCTTTTGCCAACAGTGAGTTCATAATTTGCTGTAGATTATATAGCTGGGCTTTGTGGATATGTTTTATCTCAGGAGATAATCCAAAGTTGAGATATCATGCATCAACAGTAGCTTTTGATTTTTACCTGAGGGATTTACCTGGACTCATAATTTTGCTTCTGGTTGAGGAGGTTACCTTTTATTCCCCCCATGATTACAGGTTGTGTGCAAAAAAGTCAGAGTCTCCATGAAGATTCTCTAGTTAGGTACTTGGAGACTCAAAGTCAGAATGACCACAGAAGAGAAGGCAATAAGGACATATCATCATCCAAATGGCATCACTGTGCTTCTGTTCTTAATGGCGACTGTCTACAATCAATAGCATTTCCATTTGTCACGAAATACGAATTTTATATAAAAAATTGGCAACTGTAGGGAAATAATATGAGACACTTTTTATTAGGCCATGTGTTAGGTGGTCAGTAAAATTTAAATATTTATTTCCAAATTGTTTCCCCATGATTTACTTTAAAAACCAAATTGGAATTTTAGGTGTTTGTAACCCAAGCTTGTTAGCCATTCAGGGAAAAAACTCAATTAAGACACTCTGACTTTTATCTAAAAGACAAGATCTCATATCCTTTGGGTTGTTTTTTTTTACAACTATTCCTAATACTAACTTCCATCCAAATGTGTCTCTCCTATTGACAGAACCAGTTTGTATACCGAGACGGGGGGTTTGCTGCAGAGCAAGGAGTGCCTGTGCCGTACAGAGCCACGACCAGCACAATCCCAGAAGCTCCAGTTGCTCAGGGGGCTACAGCCGAGATTTTTGATGACTCCTGCTGCAACGGCACCCTACGCAAGCCAGTGGCACCCCATGTTCCAGAGGATAGCAGCACCCAGAGGTACAGCGCTGACCCCACGGTGTTTGCCCCAGAACGGAGCCCACGAGGAGAGCTGGATGAAGAAGGTTACATGACTCCTATGCGAGATAAACCTAAACAAGGTACAAACAGAATGTTCAGAAATGATTGCCATTCAAAATTCACTCCCATCAAAATAAGCAAAGTATAGAAGGGAAATTGACAAACCACAGGACTGGGTAACATTTGTGACCCAGAGAAGGCCTAAGGTGCTGCTCTATGTAGTATGCTATCCAAATCCACAGCATTACAACATCTAGAATTGCATTCTGATTTTTTAGAAATCAAAATCTCAGACACCACCTGAATAGAAATCTGCATTTTAACAAGATCCCTATGTGACTTTTATACATAATCAAGCTTGAGAAGCACTGATCTAAACATATCTTTATTGAAATATTTGAGTGAGGTAACATATCACAAGATTTCACAACCATTACTTTATTGGACTCATATTGGAGATCATAAAGACTGGTATTTTCATGGCACCAATAAAATATTTGGTCAATTCTTTAAAATTTTGTGTCATCAGAATGACTTTGTTCATTATAGAATATTATGATTTCTTGTATGACGTATGACACATTTCAAATGTTAAAGTTCTGACACTGTGTTTACTTGTATGTCTACCATCATGTCTTGAAAATATTCAGTTTGTGGTTCTACAAAGTACAGTGATAACTTTACAGAGCTGGTAGTAGAAATGTTAGACATCCAAATCAAGTGACATTTCACTTTTGAAAAAGCCACTCTCCTTCCATGTTAAACAGCATCACAAAAGGAGAAGATGGATGATTGTTATTTAAAACTGATTACTGTGTCCTAGAGTCTTTGGTGTCAAGTAAACTTTAAGACTCTCTACAAGGGTCCATTATGTTCCTGATTATATGGTTATATTCACTTTTATAAAATGCAACTAAGGGATCCCTAAGTTCAAACTGTAAATAACCTACTAAAGTTTATCTATCTAGATGTATGTAAGATAGTAGTGACACACATGTAGGTTTCGAGAAGATTTGGCAGATTCCCCCAAAAGTAGAATACTCTCTGGGAAGATCCTGAGCTCAACCATAGAGTTGTTTCTCCATTTATAGCTACATGGCTATGCAAGTTTGCATCAGGACAATACATAAGTAGATTCCATTGGTGTAAAGTAACATGAACTTTCTAAGAAAACACAAGCCAGTCAATATAGACTCAATGTAGAGCCTCCCTAGATTTTGTCTCTGAATACAAGTTTCCATAAAAGATTTTTGTACTCCAGCCTGCTTCTCAGAGGCTAAAGAATTTTAGTATAGACAGATACTCCTCCGCTTTCAGGAATCTGGTAGGGAAAATCAAATTCTGCCTCCTGTGTAAGTTTTTACATACATTGTTCTTAAAATGACAGTTGCTTTGAGAACCATTCAAATTCCAACATGTTATGAAGTGAAAAGTTCTCCCTACTTCTTTAGGGACAATAATGAAAACAGTTCAGTAGAATGAGATTGTTCAATAGGAGTTTTAGATCTGAATTCTATCTAGTTCAATACTAGTTGTATCCTTAATACATCTTTTAATCTCAGTTTCCTGTTTATAAAACTGAAAAGCTACAGCTTGTCCTTCCTTGCTCATAGGATTGCTGTGAGGATGATGTTAGTTCCTGTAATTTCTGTATATGATTGTGGGCTAGTCATTACTATCTTTTAACTTGCACAGGATGTTAAATACTTAACCATATCCAGCAGTCCTTTATCCAGGGAAAAATCACCCTGAATTGATGATTTGTTTTTCTCTACTTGTCAAGCTAAGTATAGAGGGTAGAAAATTTGTTTCAGAATGATGGCATCTCAACAATTGTGCCCTTTTCCTGGCCCAACACCAAAATAGGAATAGGTAAAGTGTCATTTCTGTGGATACAGTGAAAAGAGAGGACAAAAAGTGGGTCTACTCTATGTAGATGTGTATACTATATACACAGAGGTGGAATTAAATTTAAGGAGAAAAGTATTGGTTAACAACCTTTAAAAAAATTCTGTGTCAATTCCTATTTCATATTGATTTATTAGATGGAATCATACAATATAGCCACTCTGTGACTGGTTTCCACCTACAAAACAGTCATTTCATATGATTCAAACTAATAGTTTGCTATTTTGTGATGATGGTCAGCCCTTGGAAGTAAATGTTATAATTATACTTTATTCTTAAGCATATGTAGTCTTAAACATATGTAAGGCATGCCAATTTAATGATGTTAGATGTCCATCAGGTATTTTTATCAGTTGAGTCTTTTCCTTAGATGTTTCTTTTCCTATGCATCAGGCTTTCTATGAAACATCTGTAATCAAATCTATTTTACCTATATGAGCATCACAGCAAGCCACACAGACTAAAAACTGCTATTCCTTCACTTCATCCATTCATCTTAGCATGGAGTTAAGCTATAGACATTTTGATTTTTCAATATCCTTTTAAAAATTCAAATTTCTTCGCATTTAAAAGCTATTTAACCCTGATAGATTGTCTTGTTTTCCAACAAAAAGAATGCCGACTTTTAGAAAACAGAAGCATTTAAACAAGTGGCCCCATATATAGGAGATAAAAAATACAATTAGGAAAAAAAAGGAACAATTTAGGGGACAGGAACTCTGCTTCTGGCCTGCGGTGCCTTATTTAGTCACTAAGAGTTTTGGCCCACTTACTCTTTTTTCATATGACAAAAGTAATCAACCAAGCAATCAACATAGGTAATCAACAAAATAGTTTTCTTGAGAATTCATGAAAACAAATCTGTGGCTTCATTGTTCTGGAACAAGAAGCTAACCATCCTATATAAACATTTTCCAGAAAGTGGATATTAACTGATATTTTGTATTCCATCAGAATACCTGAACCCTGTGGAAGAAAACCCTTTTGTTTCTCGGAGAAAAAATGGAGACCTTCAAGCTTTGGATAATCCCGAATATCACAATGCTTCCAACGGTCCTCCCAAGGCAGAGGATGAGTATGTGAATGAGCCACTGTACCTCAACACCTTTGCCAACGCGTTGGGGAATGCCGGGTACCTGAAGAACAATGTACTGTCTGTGCCAGAGAAGGCCAAGAAAGCATTCGACAACCCCGACTACTGGAACCACAGCCTGCCACCCCGGAGCACCCTTCAGCACCCAGACTACCTGCAGGAGTACAGCACAAAATATTTTTATAAACAAAATGGACGGATCCGGCCTATTGTGGCAGAGAATCCTGAATACCTCTCTGAGTTCTCGCTGAAGCCAGGCACCGTGCTGCCTCCTCCACCCTACAGACACCGAAACACTGTGGTGTAAGCTCAGCGGTGGCTTTAAGATAGAGACACGCCCGCTCCAATTTCCCTGCCGCCTCTCTTTCTCTTATGGTCTTCCTTCTATTCCCAAGGCCAGTAGTTTTGACACTTCCCAGTGGAAGATATAGAGATGCAATGATAGTCATGTGCTCATCTAACTTGAACATTAGAAGGAAGAACTGAAAGAGAAAGACAGGAGGAACCACACTGTTTCTTCATTTCTCTGCATGGGTTGGTCAGGAGACTGGAACAGCTAGGGAAGGACCAGCAAATATAAGGCAATACTGCCTGCTGTCAAGCTAGTTCTCAACTTTTTCCCTTTTTTGTCTCTTTCTTTCTTTTTCTTTCTTCTCTCTTTCTTTCTTTCTTACTTTTTTCTTTCTTTCTTTCTTTCTTTCTTTCTTTCTTTCTTTCTTTCTTT